AGTTATTCCATCCAGTGAACCAGCGGATTTATAAGCTAGAAACAAAGACTTTACTTTTATTCTCATTTACTTAATTAGATAAAGTTACTTTGGATTATTACTTTTCAGAGCAGAAATTTATCTTAGGTAACCTAACTTTCAGAGTTTAGATTTATATACATCTTACACTGTAGTTCTGAATGCACAATGGATATTCCAAAGATAGTTCCCTCTTATTTAATGATGTTGGCCCACAATGTCAGAGGCAGATGTTGGTGTTACAACAATAGAGGCTAAACTTTCCCACCAATATTCCATTATATTTTGTTGCCATGTGACAGATGGTAGCAGAGGGACAGTCTGCCAAAATGGCGTCCGACACGGAAGGACATATGGAGCAAAGCTGCATCACTGAACTCCTCCACATGGAAAAGATGGCACCAACTGACATTCACTGAACCTTGTTGAATGTTTATGGAGACCGAATACTGGATGTGAGCACAGTGAGGTGGTGGGTGGTGCATTTCAGCAGTGACAACAATGACAGTGAGTCACTTCTGTTGGTGCAGATTTTACATACATGGTGTATAGGTTCTTGTTCATCACTGGTGGAAAAGCACAGCTAATGGTGATGACTGTGTTGAAAATATAAGTAGCTGAAAATTTGGTCTACCAAATAGTATCATTATGTTCTTTGAATCTGTTTTATTTTCTATGGAAAAAATAGGAGGCATTACTTTCAGAGTGATCTACATACACTGACATTTCAGGTTATAATTATGAACACTAACATTGTGACTCACAGTCTTTTAAAATCAGCTTGTGGAAAAATTGTCATTGAAGAAAAATATTTAAGTAAAATAAGGGTTAAAGGATTGATCCAGAAGATAATGAAAACAAAAAACAAAAAGTCTAAAAAATCAGCAGCAGAAGAAATGAAGATATGCCTCTAATAACAAACACTTCTATTACAGAGAACAAATTCCCTATTTATCCATTCTTATAAAAATAAAGAAAAAACAGCTTTGTCCTTCTCGCTTACAACTGTTCTCTACAATATTTATTTTAATTGCAGTGTAAGTTATTATTCATTGCCAGAGCAAGGTTCAGAAAGTATGCTGATCAGAGTTTCATTCTCATCTACTCACTCAGTGCATATAATTTAACAGGCACCAAGCTCATTGCCTCTGACTGTTGCTACTGAGGGGTAGGTAAATTACCAACGGTGTTACAAGCATGCTCATGGAAAAAAACTTCCCAGATGGTGACCTCATGCTTTCATGTTGATCAGGTTTTTCTTTCAATCCTGTTCAGTATTAAAAAATACAATCATAGTCATTTGGCTGTTGTCTCTGTCTACATCATCATATTCATCTCTCCTAGGCAAAAGCAGAGGACATAAATGTGGACACATGGTGTTTCACAGAGGTGCTGAAGAATAAGAATGTGTATCAGATCTCAAGCACTCACAGAATTACTAAAATGATTATATGCAGGAAATTTTACCCTTAGATGTGAGTTCTGGATGGTAGATTTTCACTCTTTTATTTACATATCTACATTTGGTATAAATGTATTGTCAACAAATATGTTACAGGTTGTGACTGAAGAAGATACAGTGATTCTTCGATAGTGACTTCATCAGGTTTTATGTAAATATCCAAAAATTGTGAAACTAGATGTACAAACTTTGAAAAATACGTATTTCATTCCTGAATGAGCAGACACTTAAAAAAAAAAAAAAAGAGCAAAAGTTAATTTGGCCATTTAAGAACACTTTGTTGTAAATCCTCAACTTTCTAATCTATGGTTATGTGTACACCGGGTGGGAACATGAAACTTGATTTGCTAAATAACGCACAAGATGTTATGCCAGGAGCTGCAAAAAGGTTGGTTTCTGTGGTGAAGATTTTATTAGCATAAATAAAAGATGGTTGAATTTTCAAAATTACATGTGTAGATGAAGAAGAGATAAATACCGTCAATTACTAATTACTAATACAAATACATTCTTCAATAGCAACATTTTTGGGACAAAAATGATTTTTCAGTTACAAAACACTGCTAAAATGTTTCAAAATCAAAATTGCTAGTTACTTTCAAAATCTTCACCAAAGTTGGAAACTATCTTTCTAAATAGATGAACTACAAGAATGAACTTTGAAGATTTTAAGGAACCCTGAGATAAGGAAAAAAAAAAAACTTGGTATGGTTCTATTTGTGGTTAAAATAATACATATAATTACATGGTGATAGTCTCTCTTTCAGAGTCCAATAATTTTGAACCTATTAAACAGCTGTAGATCTGATTAACCAGGAGTATTTCTCATCTAAGTCCCTGCAGGTTCCAGCAATATTGCCATAATGGGGTCAGATCTGAGAACACAGCAGGCTCAGTTCCCATAACCTGCTTCCTAAAAAGTAAATTTTTTTCATATAACCCAGGAGCTACATTGTACTACAACGTACTACAACTGCACATGTTTGATAAAATTTTTAAGCAGAAAGTTACAAATACTAGTGAAAAATCAAACTCTGAGCTCTTACATAGGAACTAAAATACTTGCAGATAATGAAAAAAATGGAAATATTAGTAAATAGCGAAAACAAACTTTTGTTTTCTTAGTAATTCTTCTCAACCGTATTTCTGCATGCGCTCAATCCCAATCTTCATTTTTTAGATACCTCTCTAATACCAGCAGTCACTGTTCCCGTTAAGAAAATAAATTTAGAATGAAACATAGCACCACTTGTTTCAAAGAACAACTTTAGTATCATGTAACTCTACAAAGAATCACAGAATGGTAAAGCCTGGAAGAGACCTCTAGAGTCCAAGCCTCCTACTTGGGAGGAGGCTCCCTAGACTAGGCTGCACAGGTAGGTGTCCATACGGGTCTTGAATATCTCCAGAGAAGGAGATTCCACAGCTTTGCTGGGCAGCCTGTTCTAGTGCTCCATCACCCTTACTGTGAAGTTCTTATGCACATTTGTTTGGAACTTCCTTCAGTCTGTGGTTGCTTCCCCTTGTCCTATTGTCGCATACCACTGAAGAGTCCAGCCTCATCCCTTCGCATCCGACACATTAGATATTTATTGACATTGATCAGACCCTCTCTCAGTCTTCTTTTCTGAAAGCTGAACAGATTTAGGTTGCTCAGCCGTTCCCGATAAGACAGATGCTCCAGGCCCTTTATGATCTTTGTGGCACACAACTGGACTCTTTCCAAGAGGTCCCTGTCTTTTTTGTACTGGGGAGCTGTACTGGGCACAGTACTCCAGGTGAGGCCTCACCAGGGCAGAGTAGAGGGGGACAATCACCTCCCGTGACTTGCTGGCCAAGGCCTTTTCAATGCACCCCAGGATGCCATTGGCCTTCTCGACCACCTGGGCACACTAATGGCTCATGGCCAACCTGCTGTCCACCAGGACCCCCAGGTCCTCTCTGCAGTGCTCCTCTCCAACAGGTCATCCCCCAACTTGTACTGCTGCATGTGGTTATTCCTCTCTAGCTGCAAGACTCTACACTTGCTTTTGCTAAACCTAATCTGGTTCCTCTCTGCCCAGCTCTCCAGTCTGTTCAGGTTTCGCTGAATGGTAACACAACTTTCAGGTGTGTCAATCATTCCTCCCAGCTTTGTATCATCAGCAAACTTCTACTTAACTAAAGACAATTCAAGTGAAAACAGAAGAACAAAGGTGCAGAAACCACTATAAAATCGAACAGTGAATTATCAGCAGAGCATACATATATCCACGTTGAGTAAGTCAGACATTAGGGACAGAATCTAATCCTGTTGACATAACACCTCAACAAACAATTCTTCTAAAAGCAATGTCTGAACACTTTGTATCATCAAAGATATGACAGAGGTGCCACGGTAGGCCTCCAATGGAGATATTACATTTGAAAGTGCACATACCTAAATTCGGTCATAGGACTGTATTTTTCTAGGCTCATCACAACACTTTTGACTGAATGATTGTTTATGAATCTGAGCTTGTTCAGTTACTCAGAAAGAGGAGAGAAGCACAAGCATGTGGAATGTCTCAATTAGCTAAGTTTTTTTTCACTCTGCTTGAATCATCTGAAACTTCAAAACTTTTGTAATTCCTAATTTGAAGGTCTAAAGATTTTACGTGTACTCAATTCTTGTCAAAGGAATTGCAGTAAAGGATAGATTTCATAGCCATAAAGTATCAAATAACCTTGCTGCCATGTCTTCTTCTAACATATGGAAGTTCATACACAAAAGTTTGTGTACTTTTTAAAACTCATTTATTACAACTAAAGAAGGATAAAGATATAAAATGTAAATTTCTGAAAAAATGTGGAATTACACCATAAATATGCAGTGGTAAGGGAGAAATGCTTGTATAATAAATACAGACCATTCTCAGTCAGAATGAAAAAAAACTCTGCTAAATAGCTCCACAATCAAATTAATCTGGGCTGGAGGCTGCTGCTCTTGGAGGCAATAAAACTTAACATGGGTAGGAAGTTTCAGGCTGAGATTTCTCTACTACTGTTCTGGTCTGGAGATTATTGGGTCTGTTTTGCACAACTTTATTGCATTCTGTTACAGTATTTGGCAATTTAGAGGCAAAGCATCAAGCCTTTCAGCCTTCCTCAGATGCTTGGAGTATCTTAGAAATGCTTAGAACTACAAGTTGAAAACACAGACAGATTGTCATGATCTGTTCCAATTTAACAATGAAGTAGTTTTTAACTTGACACGTAGAGGAACATGCTATTAGATTACAGACTGTTAAACACAAGAAATCAGAAAGCGATGTATTTTGCATGAAAGCTGCCTCAAGTTGAGCACTGTTTTAATATTGATTATGGGAGGGGAGAATCAAGAAGGTAAAACTGGACACCAGCAGCCTACTTCTTCTCAGAGCTAAGAAAACTGTTTTTCTTGTATGTACTGACTTCACGACTTACCTTAAAATTTCTGACACCTGCTTATCTTTGTAACAGATGTGAATGTGCAACAATTTTACCTCTCTTTTAATATTACCTTAATAACAGATGTCTCAACTCTGGATGGAGGACTCTGCACTTGTGCTGCTGCTGCCATGTTGGCAATGGTACTAAGATGATTCATCTGGCTCATCGCCATTGTGACAGATGCTGGAGGTAGGCTCACAGGAATTAATGGGTGGGGCATCATCATAAACGGAAGCTCCAATCCTAGAGGGAAAAAAAAAGAAAAGAAGGAAATAGGTTTATCTATTTTTGCATTTTTAATTTTTTCTCCTGATGGTAAGATGGATGGTTAACATCTCAAGACAATGCAGCAATGTGTCAGTTCTTCTCTGGGTTATACATGTGTAAATCACAAGCAACAGCGGAGAGTTTTTAGACACAAGGAGAGGCTATACCTTTTAATTTGTTCATATCAGTGTAATGTTGTACGGTATCATTGATAAACAACAGCAGTTTATTAAGTTTTCTAACATATTCTGCCAGATGTCTTAGCAATGCATTACTATGCCACTTATACATTGGTTATCAAATAAGTATTGCATACATATTTGTTCTTTCTCATCTCCACTTCTCCTAGTTGTTACTCTGAAGGAAGTATTCTAACGCTCTCCACATCTTTGATTTCTGATAGCCTATTTATGTAAACACAAAATAAAGACAAGAATTGGAAAGCTGCCGATATTAGTGCTGAAAGATGTCAACCCGTACCATTTGGCAGAAGGTGGTTCTGTTGAAGAGGATTGAGAGGATGGCTAACTGGAACATTATGTTGCCCAGGCAAGTTGGGGTGGTTAATAGAGGCCTGTGATCCTTGGGTGGGGGGAGACTGAAGTTTTTCTTTATCCCAAGAACCATCACTGCTGCCTGTGGGGAATGAATATATATTATTTGGATGAGGGACCCCAAATTTTAGATGTTTGAATACTGTAAGAAGGCCAGTAATTTAACTTTTTTTCACAAGGAATAATTTTTATTTTATTTTTTGAATATGTGGGATAGGGGAAGGACTTTCTTGAGGTTTTGTTGTTTGTTTTTTCCACCTACTGAAGAAAATGTAAGGATAAATTTTGAAGTCCAGCCAGAGCACAAACCTAAACGTATTAGAGTTGTCCCTAATTGTATTAGAATTGTGCTCCTTCACATGAAGTTTGTGTTTGCTGTATTATTATTTTTACATATACTTCTGCCAATGATAGAAAGTGCAAAAAAACTGCTTGTGGAATTTGTTTTATATGTGTTCATTATGTCTGAAACAAATAATTTTGCCTATTATGTCAATTCAAATTCAAACTACGTTAATATTTCTTCGTGTATTCATGAATGAGCAAACACTGTAGAAATTTAAAAAATTATTTACTGAAGGCACCGGCATACGTTCTTACATGCCTGGTTGACATTTCTGTGTTGAATATTCAATTTTTGTTTCATATGATTAATTAAAATATATGGAATTATTTAATGATTCCTGAAGTCTTTTCCTAGTGGAATGGACAAATTAGGGTTGAGATGAGTTCATATATTTGTGAAATATTCTTTTTTGTTATAGCAGATTCCCTGATACAAATACCCACAGGATTAAATGGCAGAATACAATTAAAGGACAATAAAAATTCACTTAAAATTTTTAGATTTGTTCTGAAAACACAATATTCATTGTGCATATTAAGGTGTAACGTAGAGACTGAGCATATCTACACACCTAAAGCAATCCATATAATCACTGCATGAGTTTGTATGTTTATTGCACACCATCAATAACACAATGTTAGAATATATTAATATCTGTACTTGGATGCATTCTCAGCAGCATGAATGCACAACAAGAATATATGATCTCCTTCCTTTTCCTATGGTATGCAATGTCATCCTCCTTACTGAAACTTCCTATTACTTTCATGAGAACTGATAAGTCTTGATGAGTCAGAACTGATTTAGTCAAAATTTAGCATTAGGGAATAAAGTGCATATTTCTGAGTGTTTTCCTGCATACATCTTACCACCCAATAAACAGGGCCTGGAAAAGAACAAAAGTAATACCACCTCCTCCTCACTTTGGTAGAAAAGGAATTAGCACGTTAGTCTTGACTTTTTTTTTTTATATCATTTTTATGGGATGACAAAAGCACAGAAGTTGGTAGAATTCCAATTTAATTTCTCTACATCTATTAAAAACCTGATTGTAAAAGCTGTACAACACAGTTTATAATGAAAAAACACTCCATTATTGCCGTGATTTTCCTTCCCTTGTTACTCTATGAAGATAGTTAAGGCTCAATATAAATCCTAACTCATTAGCTCAATACTGTCTGTATCCCAGTGTAAATTGTTCAGAAGTAGGTAATGAAAATGAAGTCTAAACTCTCCCAAAATCAAACAAAGCCATTTTATGAAACAATGAAAAGAATCAATTACATTAGATACTTTTAACATTTTAAAGAAACTGTCACCACCTTTATTCAGTGTACACAGCCAGTCTGGTTAATATCTGACTGGAATCTCATCACCTTTGATAAGTGAATATATTTTCTCATATTCTGAGAACCATCAAATGCATACATAAATAAAAGAGCTTAACAGCAGCAGGGAAAAAAAAAATTCTTCTAATTTCTCAGTTTTTTGTGAATTGCTGCTGTGACATACACATTTCGTTTATTCCAAATGTTCATTCATTGAAAAGTCTGACAGTAGAAATAACAGTTAAACACAAAAAATGAGTTCATTAATTTAAGACAAAATGCAGGTGCTGATGCCAATGTGCATTTAACGAGAAGACAGGTAGCTCCAAAGGGCAATTCAACCCATCTTTGAGTGCATAAAATAATATAGCATTTGTATGATGCTTAGGGCTTCATTACAAAACAACCACCAAAAATCTGACTACATAATGTCAAACACTGGGCATAAAGAAGTCCAATCTAAATTTTTGCACCTGTTAATAAAAAGCTCAGCAACTTTGTTTCTCGTATATGTTGTCAGAGTACATCCTGTTTGTCCATGCTGCTCCCATTTCGTGCTCATTGCTGTCTTGCTGTAACTAATGTGAAGCCAGAGTAAGCCCTGAGTGTTGGTTGATTAGTTTAACCCAAGTGGAACTACCCTGTGATCATGATGCAATCAGTACTGCCTGGTGACCAGGTAATGCCTACATGCACACGAAATGGAGAGGGAAAGACCGTAAGAGACAAATGGAATGAATGCCCTCTGGGCTTGCCTACATCTCTCCAGTAAATGCAGAGAAAGCTTTTACAGATGGATTAAACTTATATGGCTTAAGTAAGATGAATCTAGGCCAAAATGTTTTGCTTTTTTAGCTATAAACTCTCCGATCATCATCCACTGAAAACTCTTCTCTGGACATTTATTCCTGTTCTTAACAATAAATAGAAAAATATGCACAGTTTGTAAAATATGTTTCACACTTGGGGCAAAATTCTTGGATTTACACTTAAAGCTATTGCAGGACAACATTTTACAAATCAGTTAAACATTTTTCTTCTTAACTTTCCCATCCAAAGATGCTGAAATACATATGTGACACATATACATAGGATATACATAGAGAATACATTGTATATATATTATATATAAACAATGCATTAGTGAATATATGAATATTTGTTAATAGGCACAGAAGACTTCTGCATTTCAGTGTCACAGAGCTGGTGAACTCCCAGTGATATTTTCCTTATTTATCTGCAGTGCAGTTAATTTCATGTTATACACTGACGTTCACTATGGAGATGGTGTCAATTCCACTGCAAACTTTCCTAGTGTGGTCACTGAATGGTGCATGGTTAGTTGAAGATTGCCAGTTATGGCACTAATTATGTGGCCCAGAAATCAGAGCTTTTTAAAATTACTCCTTTCTGCTTCCAAACTACATTGTCTGTTGTTTCAGAATGATATCAAAGCCAATAATAAATTGGGTTAGAGAATATAAGCTTAAGCTAGCAAAGCATTGAGGCTAGTGTCTAGTCAATGACAGACTGCTTAGTATTTACAGTTTAGTATTGTCTGTGAAGATTTGTTTATAGTGAGTCATAGGCAGAATCCAAACCATAATACTAGGAACCACTTTCAAACTACATGCTGTTGCACTTATAAGTAGACAGACAGAAAGAAGCAGTCCTGGCCATTTGCTGTGAATTTCTTACATTAGTTAAGCATAACAAATTTCCTTTCAGAGGAAACAGTAATTTTCATTAATGTCAAAGCAAAAGTTTAAGTTTAATTCATGGACACTACTCACCATCTGCTCAACTAAGTGCTAGCTGCACATTCTGTCACTTTTTTTATTTTATTTAGTCTTAATGCATACAATGGTATCAAAGAGTATCAAAAATCTGTTTCCTTCTTTCTTTTCACTTGTTGCCCTGCTGAAAACATTCGTTTTTCCAGTTTTCATCAGTAGTTGTCAAGTCTTTGTAATAGGATTAAAAGTCTGGACACCTGATATCCCTGGGTGCTGCAGTTCACTCTCATAAACACTGTTTGCTTTAAATTGAGAGAAAATCATTTTTTAGTGGCATAATTAATTAAATTATGCAAAGTGTTCCAGATTCAGCACAACATTTTCTGAAGCAGCAATAGGAAGCTCTACATTGTATTCAAACTTACGCTGCATTTCAATTGATGCCACACTAGGCTGACCAGAGTAGCATTTTCAAGGCTTTCCGGCACAAGGGACTCAATTTGGAAATGTAGATGCTTAATGTTAAGTGTTCAAACTCCATACATGTATGCTTCAATAGGCAATTCAGTTGCCAGCTATGTCTTTCATGTGCTAAAGTGCATATAAAAACTTGAAATTAAAGTTCCAAATGTTAGTATACGTTTAAAAATTGAGCTCAAAATGGCTCATCATGAACAGTCTGATGGAACAAAACCAACAATACATTTTCATAATTTAAAATATTACAGAATTCTGTGTTTTTCCCAGAAACTAATATTCCAGCATGTATTTTCCATAACGTCAACTACTTTCTCCCATAATCAGCAGTTATGCAACAAACCATTATTTGTACACTAAACTGGGTCTCTAAGAGCCTGATGCCTGGATTATTTGTATTAATTTGTAGCACAATTAGGTAGCTAAGGATGGTAATAATAAACAAAAATAATTCTGGACTGGAAAGTAATGCAGTCAAGTAAAAGAAAATGAAGCAGAAAACTAGGCTGTACACTATGAGCCATGTAAGCAAACT